AATATCTAATAAAAATATTCCTTAATATGTAATGGTGAAAGTATATTCTTGAGTCAAAAGTTATGAACAATAAATTTAGATTGAATATAAGGGCAGATTGCCTAACAATTAAAATTAGCCAAAAGTGAAACGGGGATGCCTTGGAAGATGGGGACTTCCCTACACTTGTCTTCACACCAAAGTTGGATGACCACTTTTTTATATGTTGTTAAGGGTGTGTGTGTGTGTGTGTGTGTGTGTGTGTGTGTGTGTGTTGTTCTGTTAGGAGTTGGATTAGATAATGTCTGGTGTCCCTTCTAAATCTGATTCTGTTACTAGAATATGTACTCTCTTTTAAGTGAGCAGATGCTATGACCAACAAATACAGGAATTAGAATTGAGATTAACTGAAATACAGCTTCAGTTCTGCTCTCATAAAGCTTTCTTTCTTCTTGGGGAAATCATATGCATACAGATAAACATACACAAAGTAATTGGGTGGGGGTGCTTCAGTAATAGCTGAAAGATTCAGGATAGTCCGCTTGTAGGAGGCAGGGCTTGGGCTGAGCCTTTAAAGAAGCTACAGGTTCCAAAGGCTGATATGAAATTCTCTAGAGCATACCCAGGGTTGTGCTGGAGCCAGCTCTCACTGGCTTGGGAGAGATGATTGTTGAGATTTTCACTGTGAGCATTTGTATCTCAGAAATCAGCAATTTATACAAATCAAGACTTGATTTATTGTTCTGTTGATTATATAGACTTAAGAATGGGTTAATAATAAAGATGAAACTTAAAAGCATGTGAACATATTTACTTTGTATTTTGGAGAGCCTGGTTGTTAAACATTTACCAGCACACCCCTATATTACTCTATAACATTGCTTGAGCTCAATAGGAATGCAATAGAAAGCTCAAGGAATGAAGTCATCACGAGGCTGGAGACCTGGTAAGTGTAACAAGGAGGAAGAGGAGGGTAACTAGCACTTTAAGGTTTTTCAAAGTGCTTTACACCCATCAACTTATTTAAGCCTCACAGCACCCCTGGGTATGCCTAGAAGGGAGAGAGCCTTTACAAAGGCATAGGGATGTAAGATGGAATGGTCCAGAAGGGGTAAAGAAAATGAGCCAATTTGGCTGGGATAATTGTGTAGCAGGCGTGAGGCAGGGGTGTGGAAAGATGGCAGCTGCGCTAGGACAGAACCAAGGAAAACTTCAAATATGGGCAGGTCTGCTAGAACACTTGTTCTGAAAACATTATTTGTCCCAATGCAATTGATATATAGGTGAATAATTTGAGCACGATATTAATTTTATATTTACTTTGGCACACTTTTGTCTGACTTCACAACCTGAACCAAGCCTTGTAGAAATACACAAAACATACATATGCACACATCTCAAACATCTACCTCAGTTCACCACATATATGGGTTATCATATAAGGTTGTCTTTTGCTATTTTTTTGCATTTGTGAACCTTTTTATATTTAAAAAAAAACCCCTCACTCATTCAACATCCCAAATATCTTTAAGTGTCCTGGTTCAAAAATGCCAAGCAGTATATGCAAAAAGAAAGCTTTAAGTATTGAATAGAAGATTGAAATAAAACATTTTGAAAGAAATGAGGATGTGTGATATCTCTCAAGCAACAGTCATGAAGGAATTATGGACCATCAGAGAAAATACCACAAAAATAAAAGAAATGTCCTTGGCTGGAAATATTGTGTCCCTAACTCCATTTCCTCCATAAGCACTGTTTTTTTTATTGTGCTGTTTTATATAGCATGCTGATTTAATAGCAGAACTGACTGAGAGTTGCCCAAAGGGTAAGCCCTGAAGAAGAGAGCAATCTCATAAGTTTAATTAAATCCTCAGAGAACAAGAAATATCTGAGCCACAAGGACTACAAGAATACCTGGAAGAAATAAAATGAGAGACAAAGTGGAATAGCTAAGGAGAAAAGAATGGCAAAAAATATTGACAGCTGAGAATCTGTAGTGGAAATCCTAACACAAGAACTGAATGCCCTGGAAATTAGAATGAACCAAACACAAACAAATAACCCAGTGAGTCAATAAGAAATAGTAAAACAAAATTATAAAATGTAAAAAAAAAAATGTGAGAAATATAAAATTGAAAGCAACTGACCTGGAAAACAAATTAAAGAGAGATAAATTAATAATTTTTAGACCATCTAAAAACCATGGCAAAAAAAATCCTGGATATCATATTTCAAGAAATTATAAATGAAAATTGCCCAGAACTCTTAGAACCGGATGAAAAAGTGAAAATAGAAAGAATCCACTGGTCACTTTCTGAAAGAAGAAAACTCCCAGAATTTTCATGGAGAAACCAGGACTTCCAGGTCAAAGAAAAAAAACTGTAAGTACCTAAAAAGAAAGTTTCCATACCAAGGAGCCAGAGTAAGATTTGGCAGCTGCCACCTTAAAGGCGAGGAGAGCTTGGTTTAACACTGGAAAGTAGTCTGGCAGAAATAGGCATTTACCAACATCTTGTATCATATACCATGATAAGTTCAAAGAGGGTGTGTAACTTAGATAAACAGTGATAATCATAAGCAAATTAGTGTAGCCTGGAAGAAACTACCTGTCCAATCTCTGGGTAGAGAAAAAGCCCATGACCAAACAAAAGGTAAATGTTGATAGGAGATAAAATGGGTAATTTTGATTACACGAAACTAGAAAGGGTTTATACAAACCAAAACAATGCAGCCAAAGTTAGAAGAAAATTAGGAAATGAAGAAAAAATGTTTATTTTAGTAAACTTTCTCAGATAAAGGTCTCATTTCTCACACATGTAGAGAACTGAGCCAAAACCCCACAGTTTAAGAAGTGCTGCTCTAGAAGAGAAGCAAAAAAGCAATGACATTAAAAGGAAAAATGATTTCCATATGGACATATTGATCTAGAAGACAAGGCAAAAAGAAACAATTTAAAGATTATAGGTCTCCCAGACAAATTTAACAAGTCAAAAAATCTGAACACCACAATACAAGAAATAATAAAAGAAAACTTCCCAGCACTTTTGTCAATTGAAAGTGTCCATTGAAAGAATCCACAGACCACCTTTTTTTTTTCCTTTTTGGTGAGGCAATCGAGTTTTGATGGCACAGAACGAGTGTAAATAGCAATTGTTTTCTGTTGGGACCAGAAACTTTGTGAACATTCATCTCCCAGATTGATATTTTTATGATGGGAAATTAGATCCTTTTTTGTCTCAATTTTTACCTAGACTAGTCATTGAATAGGTGTTGCCTCAGACAAACTGAGGCCAGGGAAAGACCTTAATTTCGAAAAGCCAAGGTCAGGGATGGGAAACCTGTAGCCTCAAGGCCACATGTGACCCTCTAGGTCCTCTAGTTGTGGCCTTTTGACTGAATCCAAATTTCACAGAACAAATTCCCTTAATAAAAGGACTTGTTCTGTGAAACTTGGCTTCAGTCAAAAGGTCACACCCAAGGACCTAGAAGGCCACATGTGGCCTCAAGGCTTCAGTTTCCCAACCCCTGTCCTAGAGGTTCAGCCTAGGGGTGGAGTTGTCCCATGTTGTCCATTGGGCAGGAATGTATAGAAGGTCCTGTTCATATCCTTTGACCATTTATCAGTTGGGGAATATATAAATTTGGCTCAGTTCTCACAGTTCTCTGAGACCTTCATCTGAGAAAGTTCACTAAATTTTTTTCTTCGTTTCCTAATTTTCTTCTAATTTTGGCTTCATTGTTTTGGTTTGCATAAACCCTTTTTAATTTCATGCAGCCCTTTTATGTGAGCTAATTTACCCCATTTTACCTCTCCCCTATCCCAGTGCAACTCTCTAACCTCTTAATTTTATTTTTTCTAGATATCATCCCATCATAGTTAACTTAATGCCATGCCCCCTGTCTATGCATACTCCTTCTAATTGCCCTAATAATGATAAAGTCCTTAGGAGTTACAACTATTACCTTCCCATGTAGGAATGCAAACAGATTAACTTTATTGGATCCCTTGTGAGTTCTCTTTCCTGTTTACCTTTTTATGCTTCTCTAGAGTCTCCCATTTGAAAGTAATTTTTTTTTAATTGGGCTCTGGTCTATTTATCAGAAATGCTTTGAAGTCCTCCATTTCATTGAATGTCCATTCCCCCACCCCCCACCCCAAAGGATCATACTCAGTTTGGCTGAGAAGGTGGTTCTTGATTGTAAACCTAGCTCCTTTGCTGTCGGGAATATCATGTTCCAAGTCCTCTGATCCTTAACTTAGATGCAGTTAAATCTTGTGTGATCCTCACTGTGGTCTCATAATATTTGAATTGTTTCTGACTGCTTGCAGTATTTTTTTTCTTGACCTGGGAGCTCTGGAATTTGGCTATAATATTCTTGTAAGTTTTCATTTGGGGATTTCTTTCAGGAGAGTATTGATGAGTTCTCTCAATTTCTATTTTATACTCTGGATCTAAGATATCAGGGCAGTTTTCCTTGATAATTTCTTGAAAGATGCTATCCAGGCCTTTTTAAAAAATCTTAACTTTCAGGTACTCCAATAATTCTTAAATTACCTCTTCTTATTTTCTAGTTCAGTTGTTTTTCCATCAAGATATCTCACATTTTCTTCCAGTTTTTCATTCTTTGGACTTTGTTTTCTTGTTTCTTGATGTCCCATGGAGTCATTAGCTTTCACTTCCCCAATTTTAATTTTTAAGGAATTATTTTCTTCAGTGAATTTTTGTACATGAATTCCCATTTGACCCATGGTGGGCTGGCAAATTGTTTCACCACATCCTTTTGTTGGTGGTGCCACTTGAGATTTTGCTTTGAAGCATTATTTTAAAGTTGTTTGGAAGGGAATTTGGAAGAGATCAGGTGAGTTTCTGTCTTTCCTGTGCCATCTTGGCTCCACTCCTTTGTATATACATTCTACAGATGGGAAAAATGAGGCAGGAATAGGTAAAATGATTTGCTTACAGTCATACATCTAGTAAATGTCAGAGACTGAATTTAAACTCAGGTCTTATGGCACCAGAAGTAGTACTTTATCTGCTGTGCCAACTTCCAGCCAAAAGAAATCATTACAGAAATAAATGTCAAATAGTTACCAAAACATTTATTTATTTTTTGTTTTTTACGAAAACATTTATATCAAAATTGTGTCAACAAAGAATAGGAAACAAGTAAGTATTAAAATGGGGAAGCCTGATGAAGTTACAGTATATAAATATGGAATATTTATGGAATATTATGGGGATGTACTGAAAAAACAATAGCCTTTCAGAGAAAAATTCATTACATTTATAGGACTTTATGCACAGTGTGAAATTTGGAATGTCTACATCTGTGCTCAAGCAAAAGGTTTACTTATTAATTGATTCATAAGTTTTATCTCCAGCATAATTTCTCCAATGTATAGTCAGGTATGACCTCCATGTCAAGGCTTTCCCACAATCACTGCTTTTATGAGCCTTATTTCCAGTGTGAGTATTCTGATGTTTAGGGTCTTCCCTCTTCCATCAAAAGGCGTGTCCCCAATTAGTACCGTAATAAAGTTTCTCCCACTATGAGTTCTCTGACATAAAGAGATGATCTCTGACTGAAGGTTTTCTCACATTGAGTTTATATCGAGCTTGTCCTCAGAATGAATTTTCTGATACCTACTCCACTCTCTCCCAAGTGAGACAGATCTTTCCTACCAACTTTCTAAATTGTCATAGGCAGCAAAATTGTTTTACCACATCCCTCATTTGAATGCTTTCTCTCATTCATTACAGTGATAAGATTTATATCTAGTATGAATTCTCACGTAAGCAATCAGGGATGACTGTTACTGATAGGTTTTATCACGTTGATTTCATTTATAAGGTTTTTCTCTGGTGTGGAGTCCCTTATGTTGAGCAAGCCAGGAGCTCTGTCTGGAACTCTTTCCACATTGATTACATTTATAAAGTTTCTTTCCAGTATGAATTTTCTGATGTTCAACAAGATTGGATTTATTTGCAAAAGTCTTTCCACATTGATTACATTCATAAGGTTTCTCACCAGAGTGGATTCTCTGATGTTTAGCAAAATTGGCCCTCTGTGTGAAAACCTTTCCACACTGATGACATTCATAAGGTTTCTCTCCAGTGTGGATTCTCTGATGTGCAGCAAGACTAGAGCTCAGTCTGAAAGCCTTTCCGCATTGATTACATTTATAAGGTTTCTCTCCAGTGTGGATTCTCTTATGTGCAGATGCACTGGAACTGTGTCTGAAAGCCTTTCCACATTGATTACATTCATAAGGTTTCTCTCCAGTGTGGATTCTCTGATGTTCAGCAAGATCAGAGATCTCTCTGAAACTTTTTCCACATTGATTACATTCATAAGGTTTCTCACCAGTGTGGATTCTCTTATGATTAATAAGACTAGAGCTGTGCCTGAAAGTCTTTCCACACTGACTACATTTATAAGGTTTCTCTCCAGTGTGGATTCTCTGATGTTTAGCAAAACTGGAGCTGTGTCTAAAACTCTTTCCACACTGATTACATTTATAAGGTTTCTCTCCAGTGTGGATTCTCTGATGTCCTGCAAGATTAGATGAGTTAGTGAAAGTCTTTCCACACTGCTTACATTCATAAGGTTTCTCTCCAGTGTGGATTCTCTGATGTTTAGTAAAAGTGGCCCTCTGTGTGAAAACCTTTCCACACTGATTACATTCATAACAATTCTCTCCAGTGTGGCTTCTCTGATGTACAGTAAGATTGGAGCTGTGGCTGAAAGTCTTTCCACACTGATCACATTTATAAGGTTTCTCTCCAGTGTGGATTCTCTTATGCTGAGCAAGATTGCAGCTCTTTCTGAAAGCCTTTCCACACTGACTACATTTGTAAGGTTTCTCTCCAGAGTGGATCCTCTGATGTTTAGTAAAAGTGGCCCTCTGTGTGAAAACCTTTCCACATTGATCACATTCATAAGGTTTCTCACCAGTGTGGAGTTTCTGATGATTAGTAAGATTGGAGCTGTGTCTAGAAGTGTTTCCACATTGATTACATTTATAAGGTTGTTTTCCAGTGTGACTTCTCTGATGTACAGAAAGATAAGAGCTCTGTTTGAAAGGCTTTCCACACTGATTACATTCATAAGGTTTCCTTCCAGCGTGGCTTCTCTGATGTACAATAAGGGATGACTTTTCATTGAAAGCTTTATCCCATTCATGACACTCACGGAGTTTCTCTCCAGTATGAATTCTCTGATGGGAAATAAGGGATGACTGTCTCCTGAAGGCCTTTCCACATTGCATACAGTTATGTAGCTTTTCACTAGTATGAAATTTCTGATGGAGTGTAATGGATGACTGTTGCTTAAAGACTTCACCACATTCATTATATCTATAATGTTTCTTTGCATTCTCAATTTTCTGTTGGTCAATGAGCTCTGAATTATGGCTGAAGGCCTTCTCACCTTCATTACAGATATAGTGCATGTTTCCACTATGACTCTTCTGATGTCTAATTAGGTCTGAATTCAAGCTGGAGGCCATCTCACATTGGTAAGTTTGCACTTCAGGAGGCTTCTCACAAGACTCAACAAGGTCTACCTGTTCAGTAGAGCATTCCCTATATTCAGTATCCTGACAACAGTCATTCCCTGAGGTCATTTTCTTACAGTGAATTAGGACTGAATATTGTCTGAAGCTGTTTCCATCTTTATCAAACTCAGAATGACTCTTTTGTTTTTTCTCTATCTTGATATCAGAGTCACAGACTGCTCTTAAATTGAGGTGATCATCACTCATATATCTTGGCTGTTGTGATTCTCCCACAGAAATGCTCAGCTCTGAAGTGGTCTCCCTCATTTCATGCCTGGTCTCTCCATCTGAAGGAAACAACAAAACGTATTGATGGGGAGACATACACACATACACAGATATAAAATCTTCCCGGAACTGATAGAAAGGAAACTGATTTATAATCTATTTCCCTAGGGAAAGAGAAGAGTCTTCAAACTTAAATTGACAGAATCAATCCTTTGAAAATGACATTGGTTCACATCCCCAGACTGATTTAATTTACAAAGAGCTTCACATACAATAACATTGGATCCTCACAACAAACCTGAGACATAGACAGGCTGAGCATCCTCATTACAGTCACAATTCAGGCCATGAAGCTCAGAATGGTCGAGTGACCTGAGCAACATCTCTGCAGCTGAGATTAAAACTGTAACTGGGCATGCTCTGTCCATGGTACTAGATGGCCTTTCTCCATCACACTTTTCTTAAATTACACAACTCTTTCATTATTGTGTGTTCACTCGTTTATATTTGTAAGTATGTGTAAGTATACGCAGTAGTTTAAACAAGTGCCCAGGGGCAGCTAGGTGGTGCAGTGGATAGAGCACCGGCCCTGAAGTCAGGAGGACCTGAGTTCACATCTGGCTTCAAACCAAACACTTGACATTTACTAGCTGTGTGACTCTGGGCAATTGCTTTAAAAAAAAAAAAGTGCCCAGTGGAAATAGGGTACTTGGCGTGTCTGTAATATTTTTTTAGAGGTATTGCTGCACAAGTGCAAGTTAAATTCCAATGAATAGTCAGAGAAATGTATTGCAAAAAATTAACTGCAAAAATTTGGACATTTTTGAAACACAAATTTAGCTGAATGTTTTAAAGCTATAGTTCTTGTCATATTCTGTAGTTACTGTGCTTATTAAAAATGATGACTACTATTTTGCACTTAGTTGTTAGAAAAAGTTTCTTTGGGAAGGCATCGCTAAGTTATTGTTGTAGGGAGTGGACCACTATCTCACCCTGGAATAGGAGGTGATCACTGCCAAGCACCAGAACCTAGAAATGATTCCAGCAGCAATCAGTTCCAGCCCAGTCTCCTAGTGATCATTTTCCTTCTTAATGACTGCATATATCTCTATATTGTGGTCCTTCAGGGGCTGTCAGCATATTTGGGTGGTTTCCCAGAGATTAAAATGATGGTTCTCTGCATTGCCTGTAGATGTCATCTTTTTGGTGTAAGGAAGCCTCTAAATAAAGAAGTCTTAGATCTTTACCTGAGGCTCAGGTAAGGTACACAGCTCCTAAGTGGCCATGGCATGATTTAATGTTTTCTTCCAATTGTGTCCAGTACTCTCCATAAACAGACAAGCAGCCTAAAAGTGGTTAGGGGGAGGTGGACCCCAGCCATGGGTAAAGATGATGCAGGTCCAGGAGGTGTCCCTCCAGCTCTGTAGGATACTGCAGGGGCCAGGAAATCTGACTGAGGCTCTCTAAGACCCTTGTCCTCTCCCACAGGTATGCTGGTAACTGCTGGTCTCCATAGCAACAGCCCTAAACACCAAGGACCCCAGAACTTTGGAGACCACTCAGAGGCAAGAACACCACAGTCCTGGGAGACATGCAACCCCCAGCCCAGCTTCTCCCCTATCCCAGGAGAAAGACTCTTTCTAAGGGACTCCGTTGCACTTTCAATCCTTTCTTCAAATGCCAGCTGTTTATACTTTTCATTGTGTTGTGCTTCTTCTGGTTTCTCTTTATTGACCAGGTCTGATGCATTATCACAGTTTACAGAGAATTCTGTAAATTTCATATGCTTAGCTAAGAAATAGTTCTGTTCTTGTGTAGCAATTTTCAATATTGTGTCCAACTGTTCTTATATTATATTCAGATCCCTAGATGTGCCATTTGTAGCACATACACCAAACATTCATATTATTTCATTGCCTATTATGTCTAGAAGAATAAGTGAATTTCCCTGGTGATCCCTTTTATCTTTTTGTTGTTATTCTCATGGCTAAGATCACATTATGATTGCCAACCTTGGGGGGTTTTTGTATTTTTATTTTTTTAAATCACCTGAGGTATACCATATTTGGTTCTAGCTCATCACTTTTTTAGGACAGCTACTACTCTTTATTTTTAAATTTTTATCTTTGAATGCTTCTGCTTCCTCGTTAGAAAAAGAAAAGCCACAATCCTTGTAATAAACATAATTTTAAAAAATCCATCCATTTCCTATGTCCAAAAATATTATGTCTTATGCTTGACCTTAAATCTATCACTCTTTGGTCAGGAAGTAGACAGCATGCTTCACTATTGGTCCTACTGTACCCCTAGCCATTTTGTGGCTGATAAACCCTTTGGGGCTTCACAATAATGGACTAAGGGGTTTGACCTAAAAATTATTGAATGGGACCTTGAGCAGAAAATAATTGCCAAATTTTGTTATAAATATTTTTAAATAAAAATAAAATAAATGCAAATATCTAAATATTTTCCTCTGGAGCTAACAAGCACGCTCGTTTCAAACGTAATAGTTTTCTTCCTGCAGCGACTCCAAACTGTCAGAATCAAGCATATGATGTTTTTCAAGTTCAGGCAGTGACGACATCAAACTCTGACCACTTCTGACTAAGTGCAACCTGTCCCTTCTTCAGTTTCTCAACCTGACATCAAATTGTTTCCCAACAGCCAGAAAGGTTTGAGTGCACATCAATTCCCCTTGGATGGTCACAGGCATGGACTGATGGTCACCTGCTTTCTGTCACTGTACCAGAGTAGTTCCCAGGTTATCTTGTAAGCACATCTCATCAGCAGGGTTACATCTCTGCACAGATGGCAGGCTCTTTGGAAACCATGAACACATTACAAGCCATCTTGAAACCATCGTGGACCATCACAACCATTCTATGGAAACAATCCTTATATTACCTCTCATCTTGCCTGGATTCACTATAAATTTAGGGAGCATTATCTCAGCTGGGCCCCAACTGTGGCAAGGCAATCCTTTGACGTCTCCTTAACTGACTTCCCATCCCGCTCAACACAGTAGCTTTTCCAAATCTTTTCATTCCTTCCCAACCCTCCCATGTGGCTTGCTCCCTTCCCCCAGCCCTCTCACCATAGAACCTGGCCTCATAGTTCAATAAAACAATTGGACGTTTACCTCCTCCTCATCTCACACAGATCAGATGCCTTTTTTCCTTCCTTTATCCCAGTCTCACATGAGGGGGCCCTCCTGAATGACTAGACAAATATGCCCCAATGATCCCATTCCATCCCATCTATTCCTCCATCACATAACCTACTCCAGCATCTCCATTTTCTCACTAATTTTCAATCTTCCTATTTCTACTGGTTCCTTCCCAACTACCACAAATGAAACCATTTCTCCCCAGTCCTCAAACAAGTCTCATCAGATCCATCCATTCCCAGTGGATGGTGTTCTACACCTCCACTCTGTTTCATGGTGAAACACCTACAGGTGGCCATTTACACTTGGGGTCTCCAATTCCTTCACTCTTACTTTCTACAAAACTCTGCAGTCTAGCTCTGAACTTTACTGTTCAACCAAATCTCCTCTCTCCAAAGTTACCAATGATCTCCTAATTGCTAAATCAAAATCCTCACCCACCCACCCCTTTTTTTTAACCTCTCTGCAGCTTCTGACACTGTCACCACACCCCTTTCCTTGATACTCTCTTCTCTCTAGATTTTGGTGATTCTCCTCTCTTTGGGTTCTCCTCCTGCCATGTCCCAAACCAACCTCATTATCTTTTCCCCAACCCTCCCATCTTCCTACTTTCCTAACACTATCCAGGTCACCCTCCCGACTGTCCAGGCTCATAAAAGGGATGTCACCCACTGCTCACCATCTCTCGCACTCATACCATCATCCCCCTCCATCTTCAATCTTTTGGAAAGTCCTGTGGATTCCACCTTTGTAACATCTCTCACATACATCCCCCCACCCCCTTCTCTCCCAACACTGCCACCTTCTAGGTTCAGACCCCAATTGCCTCACACCTGTAGTATTGAAGCAAGCCTGCTGCTTGGTCTCATGGCCTCAAGGGTCTCCCTAGATCAGTCAAGCCTCTACCCAGCTGTTAAGTTCATCTTCCTAAAGCTCATATAAGCACCAGGATGATATATAAAATCCTTTGTTGGGCTCTTAGAGGCCTTAATCATCTGCCATTCTCCTCCCTTTCCCAGTCTTCCTTCATCTTACTCCCCCTCCACATATAATCCAGTAGCAAAGGCCTCCCTTCTATGCCTGGAACAGGACACACCATCTCCAGTCTCCATGGACTTTCCCTGGCTGTCCCTCATGCCTAGAATGCTCATCCTGGCTTCTCTGAAGCCCCAGCCAAAGCCCACCATCTACAGTGAGGCTTTTCCAACCTTCCTCAATCTAAGGGCCTTCCCTGCCTTGACTAGCTCCAATCTAACCTGTATGTGGCATGTTTTACATAGCTCTGTCCTTGTCTCTCCCCACTGTCTGTGAGCTCCTTGAGAGCAGGGGATGTACCTTTTCTTTCTATAGATAATCTGGGGACTGGCACATAGTAGGCCCTCAGTGAATGGTTGTTAACTTAAAAAGAGTCTAGAAGAGAGCTGGTATTAGACAGTCCTTTTTGGATATCTTCAGGAGCGCTCCATGACCCAAAGTTCCAAGCAATGGATCTTATAGGATCATAGTTTTATCACTGGAAGGGAAGTGAAGGGGATAAAGTTCAACCCTTCCATTTTGCAGATGGGTAAACTGATGTTCAGAAGTTCAGTGACTTGCCCAGGATCCCTGGGCAAAAAGTACCTGAAAAAGATTGGCAGGTCAGGTCTTTCTGCCCCCAATGCTAGCATAACCTTCTCTGTGACATGTAGCTACCTCTTGTGATAACAGCCCTCATACACCTGCTTTCATTTAACTCACCTGGAGAGGAGTGTCTTGGGTCTTCCCTCACCAGTATCAGTGGTCCTTCCCTTTGCTCAAAATTGGAGATGAAATTTTCTTTGGGAACTGGAACACCTAGGCATGGGAAATAAGGAAGGGACGACGATGGAGAGACACCTGCACTTTAGTTCACTTCAGGAAAAGAGGGCTTGTAGGGAGGGCTACCAGATGGTTCCCAGGACTCCTTAAAGCTTGTTTTCATGGCATCGATTGTTGGGAGCTTTGGTGGGGGAGGGAAGATCATTCGGAATCAGAACATTCTGTTTTCTGTACTTCCTTCATAAAAGCATGGGCTGATTCCATAGATTCCATTATCTAGAATTTAAGAGGCAGCTGGTCCCTTTGACCCAGCAATACCACGTCTAGGGCTGTATCCCAAAGAGATCATACAAATGGGAAAAGGGCTCACATGTACAAAAAACATTTACAGCAGCTGTTTCTGTGGTGGCAAAGAACTGGACATTGAGGGGATGCCCATCAATTGGGGAATGGCTGAACAAGTTGTGGTATGTGAATGTAATGGAATACTACGATGCTATAAGAAATGATGAGCAGGTGGACTTCAGAAAAACCTGGAAAGACTTGTATGGTCTGATGCTGAGTGAAGGGAGCAGAACCAGGAGAACGCTGTACACGGTAACAGCCATGCTGTGTGATGACTGACTTTCATAGACTTAACCTTTCTCAGCAATGCAAGGATCTAAGACATCTCCAAAAGCCTTGTGATGGAAAATGCTATCCACATCCAGAGAAAGAACTATGGAGTTTGAAGACAGATCAAAGCAGACTATTTGCTATTTTTTTTTCTTCTGTTGAGTTTTGTTTCCTCTTTCTGATGGTTCCTTCTATTGGTTCTAATTTTTCCTTACAACATGACTAATGTGAAAATATGTTTAATAGGAATGTGTATGTAGAGCCTATATCAGCTTGCGTGCTGTCTTGGGGAGGGTGGGGGGGAGGAAGGGGGAGAAACTTTTTAAACTCAAAAGCATATGGAAGTGATTATTGATAAATCAAAATAAAATATTTTTTTAAAAAAAGAGGCAGCTGGTGGTACAGTGCAGAGAGTCTTGGGCCTGAATTCAGGAACCCCTGAGTTCAAATCCAGTCTCAGACAATTACTACGTAAGTACCCGAGGCAAGGCCCATAAACTCTGCCCTAGTTTCAACTACAAAATGAGGATAATAATATCATCTAACTCACACACTTGTTGTGAGGATCACATCACAAAAAAAATTTTAAAGAAAGCTCTTAGAGCAGTGCCTGGCACACAGTAGATATCTATAAGGGCTTATTTCCTTCCCTTCCTCTCCCACCATTTGTTCTGGAATTCTGGAGATTTAGAAAGAAGAACAAGGACACACTTGGTACACCAGGTTTCTGAGGGTAAGACTAGGAGCTGTGAGCTACAAATCTACGCTTGTTGACAAGAAGAACTTTCCAAAGATCCGACCCAACCCGAGGGGGAAGAGGCCGCTTTGGGAGGTAAGAGCTTCCTCCACTGCCCATCTTCAAGGAAAAGCTGCCTGGGCACTTTCCAGAAATCTGGCAGAAAAAATTCAGGTTCTGGAAGAGGTTAGATGAGGTACACTTCCAAGAGATGACTTCCAAGTCTGAGATTCTTCAACACTGGTTTGATCTTTGACCTCAGGCTCCCTAGAACCAGTAAGAGGCAGCTTCAGGGGCAACAAAGGAAAGTCCCAGCTCCCATGCATATGATGTAAAGACCTTTTACTGGAGACCAGGCAGCAGGAGGACCCTGTCTCTTGGACACAAGAAATCAGCACTTTGGCCTTTCTAGTCATTGATAAATGCTCCAAACCCTGTATATGAGGGAGGGAATGAAGGCAGTTCCTTGGATGGCAAATTCAAAGCTCCAGAGGAAGTGTCCTTACCCAGGGAGAGCAGGTTCTGGGCATTCTCCAGCATGACCTCCTTGTACAACTCCTTCTGAGGATGGTCCAAGAGGCCCCACTCCTCCTGGGTGAAGTCCACAGCCACATCTTGGAATGTCACCAGCTCCTAAACCATCAAAAGTCATAGGATTTAGACTGAGACTCCAGACTTCATCGAGTCCAATGCCCATCAATTTACAGGGGGAAACTGAAGCACAGAGAGGGGATTTGCCCAAAGGTCACACCTTTTAGGAGTGTCAGAGCCAACACTTAGAACCACAGCCATGAAAAACTCAATGGAATATTGACAAAAGCTTTTTACAATTGCAGCTGGAACAAAATGGAGCATGTGTTAATATGTATTGTTCTCCCTATGGAATCAGAGAACTTATGTGATCTATCAGAGATATATTAGGATCTCTGGAGGAGAAGAAGAGAAGGTGATGGGAAACTCCTTCATCAGAACAGGAGTAAGTAATACTTTATAAGAAAAATTCCATGAAGAATTGGTGAGATGCCAGAAGGTATTGTATATTCTCAGGGTGGGATTGGGGGGAGAGTTTCCTGTGATCACTAAAGAGAGAGTAAAGAAAAAGAAAAGATCTAGTTTATTTCCTGAGTGCTTGAAACGAAGTCTTATCCAGATGAAAACATGAAGAGGATTCTTGAGAGGTGACAATCACAACCTGGACTGAACTAAGTGGCATGAGCCTGTTTCTAGTCAAGGGAAAAAGAGACATCTCTCGTTATAGCGAGGGCAGAGGTGGCTCTGGTATCATGTGTCATAAACAAAACATTTCACGCCTTTGCATGATTTATGCATTTAACCAGAGCATGAGAAGGAATTTTCTTAATTGAATAGGTTGTAAATACAATCAGATAGGAGAATGTCAAATGTCAGATCCAGGATATCTGTGTTTCCTTTACCACCACAGAATATCAAGGTAAGAAAAGTCCCCTTATTCAAGGTAGTGTCTGGGTGAAAGGCGCCTTAGTGGTCACGAACAGAAGAATGCTCTTGATCAGCTTTAGCTGTCGACACAGGAAGGGGCATTCTCAGTTCACTCGGGAAGAAAAGATTAATTCAGGTTTTTGGCCCTTATTGGGGCTCAATTGATCTTAAATGAGTATCGGTGTGTATGTGTGAGTGTGTGTATGTGTGTGTGTGTGTGTGTGTGTGTGTACATGTGTGAGTGTGTGTGTAGGTGTGTGTGTGAGTATGTGTGTATGTGTGCGTGTGTGTGTGAGTGTGTACGAGGCCTGCAAAAAGACATGATCCCTATTGAATAGAGATGAGTGAGTGAAGTGGGCATTCCTGGCAGTCAGTTGTCATGAGGGATAACACATACAGAGGGTAGTAATTTGGGGGAGGGTGGCAGGAATTAGTGCGAGTGATGCCACGGTGCCACTGAATCAGTTGAAAACACAGAAGGAGAGAGCAGGGCAGTGTTGTAACTCCTGCGTTCAACTTCATGCCTACTTTTGGAAAGAAACAGTCCATAGGTGAGATGTTGCCAGCCTCAAGGACAGTCGTCTTTGTCTACCGAAATGGTCAAGTTGGCTCATCTCGGTCGAGTCTTTGAACAGAGAGCACTCACCTGGGGTAGGGATCTCCGGTTCCCAGGCCATTCTCTTCTAGCTCCTGGCTTTCTGCTTGGGCCAGGCCTTGGTGGTCTGCAGACTGAGCTGGGGACCCGGCTGAAGGCTCCCAGGGCAGGAGGTTGGCCTAAGGGGATTTACAGAGGGTGAGGTCCCACAGGGATTACAAAGACTCTGGCCCTGGGCAGAGATTTCAACCTACACAGGGAGGATCAGGTTTGGAAATGAAGATGGTCTGAACAGGAAGACTACTCCACTCTCTCTCCAGCTCCTTCTTTGTCCCATGCCAGGGAAGCAGGAGGCCAGGGTAAGGAAGGCTCTGGGAGGCAGGACACTGTACCAAAGCTGGGGGAGAGGAGAGGGGCCATCTCAGTGACAGAAGGGTTCCAGGAGGCAGCTGAGTCTGGGAAAGAAGAATGACCGTGTCCTGGGTCTACCTAGGAGCTGGGGGAGGGCTCCTGGGCCCTCTTTGGAGCTTAGGCTTGGAGGCTGCTTCTCTGGGTCCCTGGAGGGGAACTAGGGACAGGGAAGCAATGCCTGGGATCTGATGGGGAGCTGGCAGGAGAGCCACAGGTCCAGGTAAGGGAGGCCAGGCAGGAGCTTTGGGGCCTGGGTCCTAGGTAGGTCCTGGGGGCAAGGAGACAGGACTCCTGGGTCCTTATAGGGAGCCAGGGCTGCTGGTAAGACAGCCGAATCTCTGAACAGGAGCTGGGGGCGGGGAGACAGGACACGTGGGTCCTGATGGGGAGGAAAAAGGCAGTACTCCTGGGTGCCTATGGGGAGGCCTTAAGGCAGGGCAAGTGTGACTCAATGATAAAGCTGGGGATGAAACCCCAGGACATTTGGGATGTGACGGGGAGCCTGGATAAGAGGCAGCAATGGGAAGCCGGCCTTGGGAACAAGGAGGGCTCCTGGTGGCGTGGAAGACACAGCACGACGTCAGATGAGGAGGCAGAGACGCAAAGGAAAGTTCTGCCGCCAGAAGGTGAGGGCCTCGTTGCTTCCTGGCTCAGACCTACCTGGGACCTCCATGCCCACAGCTGGCTTCCGGACGGCACAGCGATCTCAGCTCTAAAGGAAGCAGAATGATCTCAGCTCCTATGGAGGAAAGGCAGAGTAAACCCAGCTGCAAGGAAAGAAAGCAGCCAGATCCTAGCTCAAAGCACTTGTGCTGCCAGCCAGCCCACTCTGGGCGGGTCCTTCCAGTCCCAAGAGCCCCGCCCTCCCCAGCCTGCCGAAACCCCAGGATCTTCCCTTTCCTCCAGTGTCTCCTAGAGCAGGTCCTCAGACCTGCCTGCCTCCCCTCTCCAAGCCCTGCCCTCCATCCTGTGGAATGCCTTCACCACTACAGTGACCCTCTTCCACTCTAGGCCCCTCCCAGGCCTCAAATTCCACCTGGGCCACCACCCACCAGGCTGGTCATCTGTTAAGTCCTTCTCTCACAACCTCCCTCCCTCCCTCAGCTCTAGGACTCAGACCCTCCTCCTTCTGAGCAGACTCTCCCGGCCTTCTTCCAGATCTCCCCTTGCTATACTCTTCTTCCAAACTAGGACACCCAGACCCTCCCTCCTTCCTGATTCTCCCAACCATTCCCCTCCCCCACATCCCTCACTCACCAGGCACTCTCCGTAATCTGGACCCCAGGCTTACCAACCCCAATGTGTCTTTCTCCTCCAACCTGGAAATATTTGCACACTACTAGGGTCTTTGCCTCTATCTTATTAATCTTCCCTAGGGGACAATCTCTCACTGGAAGACAAGTGGGTGCTCTGGGAGAGCTGAGGCCAGGGAGTCAGGACACTGAGTCCCAGAGCAGATATTACAGGTGCTTGTGATGGGGTGCTTGGGTGCCTGTGCTTGGATCCCAATTTCTCCCTGGCCTCAGAAACACTATCCCTCTGGCCCAAGGACCCTCTCTGTGGCAGTGACTCATGAGTGGGCCCAGTGAGGCAAACTATCTCTCCTTGTTAGAAGAGCAAGCTGATCTCAGGAGAATTTCCCTTGTATGAACAGGACCATCTCGTACCAGCAGAACTATCAGGTACTGATGCCCACAGTTACCACCTACAATCCAGAGGTCAAGCTATAGACGTCAGCTCCTGAAACTATGTTGTTACAGACATAACAGCCTTAGGAACCACACCCCTTAGAAATCCCCATGGTGTCATTGTATGTTATCTCCTAATTAGCATACATGCCACATAATCCGCTACTTTTCCTATGTAAGCTTTTGCATCATTCCTGTTAGGTTGTAAGTTCCCTAAGGAGCTCTGCCCACCATGGCAGAATTCCTTAAGAACCTCTGACCACTGTATAGTGTGACAATAAATCCTGACTTAAACAATGTTTGAGTCTGCGAATTCATTCCAGAAAACCCCATCATGTACTCCAGTTCTTGAGGGGTCTCAAAACCTCTTAGACCTCAACACTTGTAAAATGAGCCCTTCTGCCTCCTCACATTCTCAGAGAGGGATTTCAAAGCAGGAAACAAAACAAAACAAAACACCATGACTTAAAAGTCCTACTCAGTAGTTGAGAGGACAGGGGATTTCAAATTTTTGGGACAATGGTGTTCCCCATCCAGGAGGGGATAACTAAGAGAAGGTAGAAGGTAAGCCACGTAAGTCTTGGGTTTAGAAATACAGAGTTCAGGGGACTGTTTTGCCCAAAGCATGGAACTTTGGATTCCTTAGAAAGTTATGGAATTTTATGGAGTAATCTCCCAAAACCAGTCTAGGGCAGAAGAGCCATTGACATTGCTAAACCTTCATCTTCACAATATTTGAAAGTTTTCAGTTTTACCCAGTCTCTGTTGGGACTTAGCTTTCAGTGGAAACTAGGGAGGGAGATTTGGCCAAAGCACACCTATTTCCTTATGAATTTAAAGTAGACCGTGTACTGTAGATTTTTAGCTGAAGAAAAAGAAAAAGTTTATATTGAAGAAGATAAGAATGGGAGAGTGATTTGTAACACTAGAAAGCAGGTCGCCTTGACAGCTGTAACTTCTCCTTTCTTTCCACATTAGAGAAACTAAGAATAAAACTATGGGACAGGTCTGCTGCTCCTTAAAGGGCCTACTTTCACAAGTGACTGTTGTGTCTATACTATATATCTGTGCTTTGTGCTAACATGTAGCTAACAGGTGTTTTACCTGAATAAAAAGGTTTGAGAGACAGTTTTGGGAAATTTAATCATTTTATTAATAAGGTGATAATCATTTAAGATTAATTGAGTACCAATAAGGGCCAAAAACCTGAATTAATCTTTTCTTCCTGAGTGAACTGAGAATGCCCCTTCCTGTGTCAACAGCTGAAACTGATCAAGAGCATTCTTCTGTTTCTGACCAATAAGGCACCTTAACCCAGACACTAACTTAAATAATGGGACTTTTCTTCTCTTGGTATTTTATGGACATGTGCTGTGTTGCGTCATGTTAAGGGTAAAGGAAACACAGATATCCTGGACCTATAGTTTACACTTCGACATTCTCCTATGTTATTGTATTTACAACCTATTCAATTAAGAAAATTCCTTTCTCATGCTATGGTTAAACATATACAGAGACCATAAGTCTGAGGAACACAGACATCCTTGATTCAGTCAGAGTTAAAGCTCTGGCTCCATGTGACATGTTACATGCTGCTAACTCAAGGGAATAAACAATATGGATTTACTTATCACCTACCTTGGTTAAAGAGACAGCTCTTTAACCAACTTTCAGGTCAACAAAGGCCAGCAGGTTATTAGTAAAAGAATGTACATTTGGCTGTCTCTGTTAGACCAAAGACAACCATGGTGGTACGCTCATATATGTATGTGTACGTATATATATATATATATATATATATATATACACACACACACACACACACACACACATACATACATATATACACATATATGTATATATATGTGTGTATATATGTATATATATATATATGTGTATGTGTGTGTATATATATATACACACCTTTCATATACTCATATATACCCTTCAAAGAGTAGTAGGTGTTCAATGAGGGGCTGAGAGTGACATCATGTCACCCTTGGACAGAGAAAATATCTCTATACTCAGACCACCTTGGGCTATCTACAAAAGGATCTGTCTCTACCCAAGTAGAACACAGTAGGCTTCCCTGATTTAGACTATATTTCCTTGTAAGGTTGGGTGGGGTCTGACCAAGGTGGAGAAGCTTTAATTCAATCTCATTATCAGTATTGTCCTTCAAGAGACCAACCTTTTTAAAACCAGGAATTTGGAAGAAGAGGAGAGCTCTGAATCTCCACAAAACATTGGTGATTAATAATCATTTCTCTCAACCTGTGCCTTTTCTTTCGGTGTGATCAACCAAAAGAAACAGGCTATAAAAATAAACTTTCGGGGACAGCTAGGTGGTACAGTGGATAGAGCACCAGCCCTGGAGTCAGAAAGACCTGAATTCAAATCTGACCTCAGACATATGACACTCACTAGCTCTGTGACTCTGGGCAAGTTGCTGAATCCCAATTGCCTCACAAAAAAAAATAGGAGTTATTTTTTAAAAAAATAAACTTTCAAAAAGTCTTAACAGAAGGCAAATCTCTCTTTGCTCTCTGTTTCCAACACTGGCAACATTGGAGGTTGCTGAGATGAAAGACAGACACAGAAAATTAATTGGAAACCAAGATAGAAAAAACTGGTTGGAAACCAAATTTTGAAAAGAACTCATTAATTTCTTTCACTTCTAAGTTGTAATTTGGATGTCTTTATAAAGCATTCTGATGAACTTATGGCACACTAGCAAACTGTAGAGTTTGATGAAACAAAAAAATTCACAGATCAGTTATTCAATAAAGGGACCTTTAAAATGACTAGGGATTGATTTATATTCAGGAGAAATTCAGTGAAATAGGGCTTCAGGGAAGTGTTAAAGTAAGAAAAACTTAGGAAGCAGTATAGGAGGAATTAGAACAAAACTCTTATGAGCTTAAATAATTTCACAACTCAGAATTTAAAAAGAAACACATTTGCTGAGACTGAAGAAGTTTCAGCTAGCCAATCTCTAAGTCTGGAGTTTTGGGGTATCAATCTGTGAAATGGGTTTAATGTTAGAGTAGAATAAAAGGCATATTTAAAAACTGTACTTAAGGTTAGGACAAGTTTCTTGCAGGAAGGAATTGTTCTTATTAGAAGGTAGAAAAAGGAACTTTTAGACCATCTTCAGAAAAGAACAAAAGTCAGTAGAAGTGGATTCCTTTACCCTTTTGTTATTTATGAACAAGTGGGCACCAAGTGAGTACTGATTGGGATGCCCAGATTGAAGGTGAACTCCAAAGTGCTCCCAGAAAAAGAAAAGCTTGTTTTGAGATCAGGAAACAACTGCAGGTAAGCGAAATGTAATGCTACTATTGCAGTCTAAATCAATTGTTTAAGTAAATTAAAACACAGTAAAACTTGTGTTGAAGTCAGTGCAAGTGAAGATAAGTTCAAAATTGAAGTTTGGTAGAACTATGATTAGTAGGGCTCTAATCAGTTAGGGTAAAAGGTATCAGGGATAGAATTGATCACAGAACATAGGCATAAATAATGTGCATGCACACCTGCTAGAGGTGCTCAGATTATAGAAAATCACATTGAAATGAGCATATGGCTTATGAGAGCATAAAATACTAAAATTTTGAAAAGGACAAGCAGAACTTGCAATTTTTTTCAGGACAAATAAACATTTTGTAAGATGAAATAAGGAAACACAATATATAGACCCCTCCCCAAACCATTTTGAACCCCCAAAACGTGCAAAAGGCCTACAATCTGGATTGGCTGGTCAGGAGAGACATTTTGGCCCACTCTGGGCTTAATCTATCATTATGATTTGTGTGCCCTGGACACGCTTTTCTTTGTTTTCTGAGTAAACACAAAATGCCCCTTCCTGTGTCAAGGACTACAGTACCAGATGAAGCTGACCAGCATTCGTCCTGTTTATGGCCACCACGGATAGGATATCTGGGAACAGACATTGTTTTGAATAGTGAGACTTTTCCTATCTTGGTATTTTACAGATATACACTATGTTATGTCACCTTAATAATAAAAGAAACACAGACATCCTGCATCTATAATTTCAATTTACACTTTGACATTCTCCTATCTCATTGTATTTACAACCTATTCACTTAAGAACTTCCTTCCTCATATCATGGTTAAACATTTGGAGACCATAATTTTGGCTGACATAGGCATCTTGAGCCAGGAAGGGAGGAAGACGTGAGAGAGAATTGCTCTGAACATATAAAAATCCTCTTTGTCCATTTTTGGGTTCATTTACACAATGAGTTCCCATGCGTATCTCTATATGCATGTTTCGCAAGCTTTGAGAGAAATAAACACTTATATTCAGATTAATTTTGTTTGTCTTTCTAAGAATGAACTCAGTAAAGGTTGACAAACAAAAATTTAATGCTTATGAGTTGAAAGCTTGCAAAGTCACAAAACAAACCGCTATGCTTTGGAATCTGTACTAAATGATGCATTACGGTAAGTTATGTTAAGAAAAAAAATGGGCAATTTTTGAATGATTTGAAAGGAAATAGAGAAAAAGTTATACTGTTACCCTTCAGAAAAGTACAGTCTCCTTCAGATAGTTTTCCAGTAGGGCAATTCCAGTTACCACTTTATGCAGTCAAAATTCTGTTTTGCTAAAGGAAACTTTAAATCTATAATAAATTATCATACAAAGCAAAGGCCAAAATGGAACTTGCTTTTATACAATGCTATTACATGATTGAGAGAGAAAATTGAGAAAGAAAAACCATTAAACTATGAAGATAACTGTAGATAATAATAGCTTACTATTGTGAAAAGAATAGCAGAGATCCTTGTAGGGTGCTCATATCTGTGCCATAATTGGGCTCTGGCCGATGTCCTTGGTCATTGCTAAAAGAGCCAGATGAATGCCTTCTGCTCTAAAGTCAGCCTGCTTACTGAAATCTGTAACAGGCTATAAGGAGGAACCAGGAGGAACCTCTGCTTTGCATTTGTGCT